AATTATTAAGATACAGTATTTTAACTACAATAATATACTGTATATAGCTATATAATTAAGATTACTTCTCTTTTTTATTTAGAAAAACTTTTAAAATTTATATATATAGTGAATATATATTTCTGATAAATTTACATTATCTTATGGCTATCTTATGGCGGAACAATTAATTTTTGTTGCAGATTATCCAAAAACACTAGTCTCGGCTGAGTCCACTTGCAGATTGGTCACCTATCTTTATTTAGGAAATTTATACAATTTTATACAATTCTGTACATGTTCAAGAAAAACATTAAGACGAAAGCCACTATTTTATTTGTCGATTGCCTTACATAAGGAATCTTTTCGTTTACGAGTTTTCTCCCTTCATTTTTTTTTGCTTCATAAACACGTTAAGAGATAGCGTCAAAATTCCATTTTCGTTTTCTAGTCTACTAATTGTATATAAATAATGTTAAAGAATCTATCTTTCATAGGCAAATTCACGTTTATTTCTATCATATTACAGGCGATAATCATCACCGTCTTAGAATCTTTCGTTGTTTATTTTCACGTCAGTTTTGTTAAGCAATATCAACTATCTCGACAAGGTGATGGAATATCTGAAGCAGACTTAATTTATCATGCAATGTAAGTAAAATATTATAAATCAATTTTTTTTAAAAAACTTATTAATTTTTTTTTTTTTGGCTTATTTTCAAGATTCATCCTCTCGTTATTCTTCCAAATAATTTTAGCAGCTGATGCTCTCAGGCAACGCAATACTGTTCAGTTAATAGCCTTAGTCATATTCAATTTTCTTTCATTAATCTATGCGGGAATACAACTTTATCAACACCAAATTCTTGAGGATGAAGGGACTCGAAATGCAATATATACGCCGGATACTTCCCTTTTTCCTTTAGACGATCGAGATGCGCCAAAAAGATATTATGAAGCTAGGATGCGTCCAATCGAACATACTATTATTGGCCTAATATCAGTATTTTCTGTATATTTGGCATTAA